GGCTCCTCTAAAATTTTACAGAATTCTTGGTAAAATAGACACAAGAATGATATATGACTATTGGAAATATTAGATACTACAATAGAGAGAAAAAAAAAACAGCATAGAAATAACAAAGTACAAAGTGGAGGTGACTAACCCATATTGTTAGTGAGCAGATTAGAAAGAAAGCAGTTTCAAGAAAATACTGCAGACTGGATTTCCTAAGACGCAAATTCTGAGATGGAGAAGAGCATGCAGGAAAATTTTTAGGGAGTCCCTTTGGGATGAAGACCCGTGGAGGGGAAGGGAATGGAGCAGAAATAGGCAGAGGGAGTAGGTGAGATGCAGTGCAGTCCCAATGGAAGCTCCCAGGAGCTGAGATTCTGCAGGGAGCTCTGAGGCCACGATGATCCTTTGGAGTTTTCCCAAGTTGAGGCAAGGGGACCGACCCTTTATAGCCCCTGGTAGGCTGGTCATTGCATCTGTCCAACCCCAGGAGGGGCAGCGACTTGTGTAAGCTGACTCTTTTTTAACAAGTGAATTCCTGAAGGGGAATGAGTGCTCACTGCTGACTCTGGCGGCACTCTAAGTGTCTGAAAGCAGTCCACCAGTCATAAAGGACAGTCCGAATAGCACATCACAGCATCTACTACAGAGGTGATATTTGAAGTGAACATGCTTATCTTTGAAGGAGAAATAATAATTGTCCAGGTTTGGTCGAGCGAGGATATGTGTGAGTGTAGAGGGTGTGTTCCAGGTGTGTCTTTGGGGTGTGGGGGTGTGGACCATTTATTTCAAGAGGCAATGAGGATCAACTGAAATATTGAGCTGGGATGAAATATGATTAGATTTGTATTCTAGAAAGATCATTGTTGGAGAAGTGTGGTTTGAAGAAATAGGAGAATGAAGACTGAGAAAGTAGTTACTATGTAGTTATACACACATTCTACAGATAGCACCTAGGTAGGCTAAATATATTCACACGTACATTATATACATAAATCTTTTCAAATGTTTTTGGAAGTATAATTTAGATAAGTGAAATGCACAGATTGTAAAATTTCCTTTCTTTTTAGAGGTTGATGTTGGACAGAGATTGACACATCACAGCCCTCTGGCGAGACATTTGTCTTTATTAATAAAGTTTTATTTGAACACTATCTCTCTCTTGTTTCTGGATCGTCTGTGGCTGCTTCACGCTACTACAGCAGAGTTTAGCAGTTATAACAGAAGTAGATGGTCTGCAAAGCCTAAAACATTAAGTGGTTAACCCTTCCCAGGAGGTTTGCAGACCCTCGGTGTC